CTTCCCCCCACCCCGACCTCCCAGCGCCCCGACTCCCCAGCAGCCCACGCCTCCTTGGGAAAGGATATCGCAGGGGGCGGCTGCCGAAGTTGAAGGCCACGGACTCCTTGAAGGAGAGGCTGATGGCTGGGAAGTAGGCCATGCCCGGGCCCCTGGACAAGTTCTCAAAGGCGGTGCCCAGCGACATGCCGTTCCTGGGGTGGAAGGGAGGCCTGAGGGCCGTGCCCAGGCCCCTGCTGGGACTGCCCCCTCAGGCCACCCTCCCAGGGATGGGAGCCGGGCGGCCGGAAGGAGGCAGGGGACTCACAGGCAGAAGGACAGAGCGCCGGCGTCCAGGTCGATCAGGCAGCTCACGATGTCCCCCGCGGCCCACGCCTCCAGGCCACCCCCCTCCCTGCCGGGGTGGGGGGGCCACCAGGTGGTGGGGATGAGCTGCTGCAGGCCGGCCTCCTCCACGCGCAGCGGGCTCTTGATGTGAAAGAAGACGGCAGACCGGAGCGCGTCGAAGCTGGAGCCGTCAAGGCCGGCTCCCCACAGCCTGCCCCCCACCCCCACCGGGCCCTGGGCTGCGTCTCCACTGCCACCCAGAGGAGCCCTCAGTCCCTCAGGCTGCCCGGCGGGCTCGGCCCTCACCTTGCCGTAGTTCGTGGTGGTCACGTTCCACTTGCGCACCCGGTTGCCATCATAGGCGTAGGAGTTGTGCGTGTCTCCGACGCCCTCCTGGGGACGAAGGGCTGTGAGGCCCGGGGGAGGTGGGCGGGCCAGCCTGGGGCACGTGTCTAGAGAAGGCGGTGGTGCTCCAGGGCAGGCAGGGCTGGGTGGGCAGTCGGGGAGGGTCTGGGGCAGAGGAGCTCCCTGGGGGCCGGCACGTACCTCCTGATTGAAGCGGCAGTTGATGGTGCACCAGCCGATCTGCATGAGCCCCTGGGAGGAGATGAGCACCTCGTACACCCATTTCCCTGGAAAAAGCCAAGTCAGGCCCGGCAGGCAGACACTGCCCCACCTCGGGCCCAGGCCCCCGACCTCCCCGCC